TAATTTAGCTTTTTTTTTCATCGATATTTTATCAAATTAAAATTTATTTTATATAAGAAAAACTACCACTTTCTTTCCAAAATTCACTTATATTACAAGGCGATGTTTATTTTGAATTAATATCAAAAGAAGAAGTTGTAGACGGTGTTCTTGATGCATTGCCGACATTACATGCATTATTATGTGTACATGCTCGAATGTCAGAGGATATTCTCGTTACATTGTTCAGAATTATTGATCTTACCATAAAAAATATAGGTAGTGCTCTATTCGATTGATAGAATAACTTTGGTAGTTATTACAAACCATGCTGACATCAATGTATCTTTTCCCACTTTTCCATTTTAAAATTGCTCAGAATATTGCTATGAAACTATCGCAACGTTAGTAATTAGTCACTGTTGGTTATTACTGATTAATACAATACTTTTTATAGGTAACAGTATTTCTCTGCTTATTCTTTCTTCTGTTTGCGAAAGTATATATATGTATCTAAGGACTTCTTTTTTCGTATGTGGGTTCTTCCCCTATCCACCATGCCGTTACGAAGGAAAACGTTTGCGGACATTTTTAAAACAATGGTGATGACTAATGATAACGACCGCCATGTATCACATCTTTTATTTTTCATAGAAAAAAATGAAAGTGAAACCGTGGCAATTTCTTCTACACTTCTTATGACAATCATAATTAAAAGAAACATATTATATTATAGGATGATCAATTACCCAAAGGATAATTACTTATAAACTGCTCATTTTTCTTGTTTTATTGTAAATATATAATTAAAATCACCTTTGGTCATTAAATCATGATGTTTATTTATTTTAATAAGCAGATAAATGCATGAATACTTTATATCAAACTGTAGCTCGACAAATTCTCTATCGAAGGGTGTCTGCATCACAAGACTGACACGATTACAGGAGCAGCATGTAAAATAGCAAAAATAAATGACAACATTAAATATAAAAGAAAGCATAAGATAAATATTAGGGCGACAACAAAACTTTTTCGTTCGAGTAATTTACGTAGAACAGCCCATATGAGCCGCTGTTTCAGATATGATTTGACGAAAGAGAAAAACTTTCTAGGCGCAGTGATCGCGACATACAAAATGGAAAGAAAAGAGCTTGCAGAACGCTTAAAATCGAAGAAAATGCTTTTAAAGCTTGAAAATTTTTTTTTGATATCATGTTTGAATTTTTTGAAAGTCTCACCCATTTGTGTTGTTGGGGTTTTGGCGGCAGATTCGTTAGAAGATGATGCTTCGTTGTTGGCTTGTTTGTTTTCACTTTCTGATGGTCTATCTTCATCATCTTTTGCTTCTCCCCAACGTTGTTGTATAAAGTTCTTTAATGATGTTAAACTTTTATGAACTTCAGCCATTTCTTGGTTGATTAAGTTTGCTACGTACGAATCATATTCATGAACAATATTACTTGTAGCAACTGCGGATGTAACAGAAATTAATAATATAGAACCAGAAAGTGCAATAATGGGCGGCACCGGGATAAAAATTGCACATATAGCAAGCACTAACACCAAAACTTTCAGTACAGCTGAAGATATTTCAACCGGATCTTCTTTTATTGATGCCCAGACAACATCCAGAGGCTTATACACACGATCAGTGGACCTCAGAGTGGACCAGTTGTTGATAACGTACTTGAAGCCGATCAAACTTAAAGATGTTTTAGAAAATAAATTTGCTGTTGTAAAATATTTTTTCTTTATTTCTTGAAGTTTATTATTGGCTTTTTCGTATACAGGTCCCGTTTTATTTTGTAAGTCATGATACCAACCTCTTGCTTTTTCTCTAAGAATTTCTTCTAAAGCTTCTTCAATTTGAGTGTGTTGTTGATTTCTAGCAAGTTTATCGTCGCTGTCGTCATACTCGAAGTACTCTTCATTGTTTTGTATCGACTGAAGTTTTTCCCATTCATTTATCAACTGACTTTTCAAAGTATCATCATGAAACTCACCGAACAGTTTAACAAGGAATTCGTAATCTTTTAGTGACGTTCGATAAAGACATATGAGAAAAGCAGGGAAAAGGAAAGATCTGGGAAAACTAAGACAATACTTAAAAGTCTTCATGACTCCGTGAGTAAAAAAATGAACGTCTCTGGGAGACAGAATTTGTTGACCTGGCGGTCGTCCTAGATTTCTATTTTCTTTTGTAACTTTTGTTTATGCTGCTCATATAAATCATTTTCTGTTGATACAATTTTTCCAAGTAGACTGCAAAAATGTTTCTTTGCGTAAGCACGAACAGAAGCTTTATCTCGATAATTTTGTTTTTGAAGCGACTCTAAAACTCCATCAGATTCTTGTAATAATAATTTAAAACTTTGCAAATCAGTCGCTGTTATTGATGTACGAGGCACTGATGTTCTTTGTCGAAGAATTTTCGGAAGATCATTTTTATAGTCTGTTAAAATAGCAATATTTAATGCCGTACCAAAATCTCTACATGCACATTCATTCCAAATAAGTCAATTTCGAAATTCTCTGTTTGTAGGATTGGTAGATAATGCTTCCTCCGTTGCTATTGCCATCATTGGTATTAGGTATGTTTTAGCCACTGTTCTTAATTCTTCTTCATCATCACAATTTTGTGTTGCACTAATGATGTATTTTATGAAATTTACTCGAAAACCATACATCTGTTGCATAAATTCCCTGTTTCTGGTCACCATTTTTATGTGAAAATTCTTCCGTTGAAAACTTTTATCTTTAAAATAGTCTAAATGATGACATCTTCTTTTCAGCTTTTCTTATATACCTGTTAACAGTTCCTTATTAATATTGTTCCTTTTTCACGAAACTACGGAACAGGCAACCTTTCTTTTCTTATGAAATTACTCACCTATGAGTAACACTTCACATGAAAACAGAAATTTTGGCAATAGATTTGAGAAACCAAGCACAGATGCATCATTATAACTCATGATGACAAAACACTTTTTTTCTCTATTCTAGTTTGCTTGAGTTGAAAATCTGAATGAATTAATTAGTAGTATTACAAGTACGGCAAGTGATGTTATTATGACTACAATACATAATACAATGTCTTTATATCAAACATGTCTTACCTAATTGTTCATGAATATGATTCGTACGTAGCAAACTTAATCAACCAAGAAATGGCTGAAGTTCATAAAAGTTTAACATCATTAAAGAACTTTATACAACAACGTTGGGGAGAAGCAAAAGATGATGAAGATAGACCATCAGAAAGTGAAAACAAACAAGCCAACAACGAAGCATCATCTTCTAACGAATCTGCCGCCAAAACCCCAACAACACAAATGGGTGAGACTTTCAAAAAATTCAAACATGATATCAAAAAAAAATTTTCAAGCTTTAAAAGCATTTTCTTCGATTTTAAGCGTTCTGCAAGCTCTTTTCTTTCCATTTTGTATGTCGCGATCACTGCGCCTAGAAAGTTTTTCTCTTTCGTCAAATCATATCTGAAAATTGTCGTTTCTGAAATTGGAATTCTCCACCTTAACCTGTGCATCATTGTAACTCATTTCTTAATGTCGTTATCTTTGCATCATGATAAAACACTTTTGTCTTATTCTTCTTATTTCTTATTTTTTTATCTTTATTCTGCCATTCGCACCATCAACGATGCAACATATTTTCGTTGTATATCGTGTTTGTTCGCGTCGGCAGTAGTAAGTTGTTGAATGCTTATAGTGAGCTGATAAAAAATATTCAAGCTTTGCGTAAAGATCCGCAAGATGAAAAACTGAGAAAAGCAGTTGCTAAAAATAAAGAAAAACTAAATCAAATCAAAACGTGGACATCAAAATTGAACACCGAGGATGGTAAACGTCGTGTCGAAGAAATACTAAAAATAATAGATCTATATATCTATCTATAATAATATATCTATAAATAATAGATCTAATCGCGGAACATTCAGTTGAATATCTGCTAAGATTTGTCACTCCCGGTCGAGACTGAACCTTCATCAACAAATGTGATTCGGCATAATTCTAACCTTTTTCTTTTTGAATAAACTTATGA